AGCAACTGACAACGCATTATCGCTTCAATCATCAATCATTTATAGAGTCAGCATGTGTGTGTGTGTGTGTGTGTGTGTGCATGTGTGTGTGCAGACATGAACAGACTTCCAGATAAACTCCAGTGTTTCCAACGTGTGTTTGTGCGTCTTTCAGCTGCAACAAGCTTAAGGCCACCCTGTGAGTGCACGGGCCACTAGAACATCAACAGATTTACTTCATACCAATACAGAAGGACAAAAACATTTAGGTATGTTGACAAATGGCGTCATGACCATGAAATGGTGAATGATCACCTGCTCTATAACGCTTCACAGGGAGGAACACATCATATCCATATACACCAATATACACTACAATTAAAAGAAAAAAACCTCTAGAACATTTACACAGTAGTACAGACACAAGACGGGGAGCGAGGATAGAGACTGATCCGACACTGACTGACAAAGAGAATGGGGCAGAAACGAAATGAGAAGAGGCAGGGAGAGGAGACAGAGGAGCAACAGACGGCTGGCTATAGGAGAGTTTTAGCTAGAAACAGGTCAGAAATGAAGCTTTAAAAGTCCAAGAAAGCCACACAGGAAGGAGAGATGAAGGGGGGGAGAAGAAAGTCAGCAAGGGAGAGGGTCGCCGGCTGTCAGACAGGTGTTGAAGCCCCAGGTCCCTCCCACCCTCCCTCTCTGTCCCTCCCCACCCCTCCCTGGCCGAGGGGGAAGTCGACATGGGCGCGAGATGGGGTGGAGACGAGAAGAAACACAGCACACACGGATGGAGGCTGAGCTACTGACCTAGCCTGCAGCCCTTATGGGACACCTGTGGAGGTTTCGAGGGTGCATCTTACGAGGTGGGGGGTGGGGGTGTGGGGGGGAATAGAAGGAAAAACAACAGGCTTTTAAACAGGCAGAATTCATAAATTCTCCAGTGTATCGGTTGTTTATAAGCAAATATATGGCAACACATCAGTGGAAATATATGGATAATCAATTAGAGGACATACAGCATCCGTCTGCCTCCCTGTCTGTCTGTCTGCTTTGTGACTGGCCATGTGGAAGGAGTTACCTACCTGCCCGTTAGTGTCTGCAGGACTGACTGCTTTGGCTGTCTGGTTATGTTTTTAATCAAGTAATTTGCTGCAGTTTTGACACTGAGGTTGGATTGTCTGTGGAAGCTGCAAGACTACGGGGTTTTAAAGCTGTCTGGCTGGCTGGCTGGCTGGCTGGGTGACTGTCTCCGTTTTTCTCCCTTTCTGCCTTAAATATTGATGCCTGACTGCCCGTCTGTCTCACTCCTCATCTGTCTGTTGGGACGCTGAATGGATCTTACTGTCGCTCATCACAAACCAGAACTATCTGGATAGTGAGGAGGGGGAGGTGACTTGCACTCTTGGCTTGTTATCTGTGCACCAGGACAGAAACATTTCGAATTGTTTTAAAAAAAAGAGAGAGAGAGAAGGTTACGTGAATTTACGTTAATTGTAGTAGTACCTGAGTCTTTGTATATCAATACAGCCAGGGCAGCTCTTAATCACTAAAGCTATACCTCCCTTCACTGCAGTAAAGCGCCCTCTCTGCAATAAGCAATAAACATTTACCATTAAAACATTTAATCTGAAAAGAGCCTTGGTGCACTGCAGTGCAACTTATCTCCGCTCCTTACCCCCAACCTGCATTAATATTGAATTTGGGCCATTTTAAAGCAGGTTTCTTCTTCTTTTTCTTCCATATAGCTATTCAAGTTGCAATTGTGTAATTGTGTAATTGGAGGGTCGGGCTGGGGATTATTATGTGTGGGGGGAAATAAAAAATCAGAGGCTTAGATTTATTGTATTGCTTTTGAGTCAAATCCCGCTCGAGCTTTGACTGGGGAAGAATTTTTGCTCAGGGGTTAGTTTATTATTCTGATCAGAGCACTATCACGATGCATAAACTGGTAACGTCACGGCATGTAGATCATCCACCGTGCGTTCTGGCCGGTACCGCTCGGTATGTGGGGGAGGGTTGCGGTGGGATAGACAGACAACAAGAAGACCTCATGGAACAGGTGGATTCTTTTTTCTTTCTTTTTCGCACCGCGGAGAAAATCTACCTTCTCCTCCGGTTCAGATTGAAGCCCTTGACTGCAGTATAATGCCTCTGCTGCTTCAAAGAGGGGCGGGGTGGCGCGTGGTGGTGGTGGTGGGGGGAGGTTGGGGGAAACCGCTTCCATACACAGACGTAACACACATCAGTTTAAAGAAAAAAGCAACAAGAACAAAAAAAAAATCTACGGCACTGACCTGGTCGCCGCCGAACGGGTCTTTTCTTGCCGCTGCAGAAACGGACTTTGCTGAAGACCCCCAAGAAATGCCTCTCGCAGAGAGAGCGGGGGTCTTTGCTGGGGCTGGGGCGACGTTTCGAAGTCGAGACCCGGTCGCTGTTGGATTCCCTCGCCTGGCGTTTCTGCCGGATCAGGGAGCTGGCGATCGCGGCCATCTCCCCGAACCGAGTCTGAAAACGGAAAGTCTACTTCGGCAGATGACGGATCTCACTGTAGGTAATTGGCGTGTGGCGGAAATAAAAATAAGAACAATGATTCTGTCCTTAGGTCCACGAGTTTGTTGGGTTGTTTTTTTTTTTAACTAAATGTCATACTGATCACGAAAATCCTTCGAGTCCAGGGCATCATTGCGCTTCGGGCAGCATCCTCTTGTGGGGACAGTAGAGTAGATTTAGATATATATCTATAAATATGATCAGCTGCTGCGAGTTTTGCTTCGACACTCGGGCTTTTCAATCAACAGCAACCGATCTTATATAAAATATCTAAGGGTTAGGCCACAAGGGCCCAGATATCAGACATGAAAACATGCAACAGTGTTTCTAAGTTGATGCTGCTGCGTGCCATAGGAGAGAGCGCTTCAGGTATTCCAGGTGAACAGCGCCGCGGCTGACGAGCACGACATCGTTTTCCTCATCCGCACACCAGCCTACCCTCTGGGTTCTTGACGCCTTTCGATAAGCATTAAACCCAAACCCAGGGGCACTACTCGTGCGTGGAGAAGACTACTAACTTTTTCTTTCCGTAATGATCTTTTTACTCCATGCTCAAAGAGAAGTCCGCTGCCGGTCCAGGATGCGGTGTAGGAGCCCGTGTATGTGAACCAGTCTCCGGTTCCGTCGATGGCACCGCTTAAATGCAGTCGGGGAAAAAATGGAATCGGCGAGCAGAGGCTACTCTGCAAGGATGCTGCAGAGATGTAATTTAAGCCCGCAGGGAGTGATTCCCGTCTGAAAAGCAACAATTAGTTGAGGCGAACACACGCCGGAGTGCTTTTCATTGTAGCGCACAAATAATAAAGTGACCTAAGCATTATTTCCAGCGAGTCCCGAATGAATACTGTGTGTGTATGTGCGAGTGAATGGTGGCGGTCCACAGCTTCTCTCTCTCTCCCTCCCTCCCTCCCTCTCTCCCTCTCTCTCGATCTCCCTCTCTGTCTCTCTCACCCCTTGTCTCCCTCTCCAACTCTTTTAACGCAATCATACGTGATTGAGGTTAGTATTAGTAATTCCCAGGAGTTGCACGGGACAAATGAATGATCCCAATCTCGAAAATTTGCGAATATTGGAATTTGTATTGCAAAACGTAAACTTAAAAAGGGGGAGGGGCTGGGTGTTTTTTCTTCTTCCCTTTGAGAAATGGGTGCGCGTGCACGCGAGTCCTTTTGGATTATGTGCGCGTTCAAACTGGGGCGACTCATCTCACAATTGTCTCTTTTAATTACACTTCAAATCCGAAGTTGCAAAGCAGTTTGAAAATGTGAGAAGGCTGCATGAAACTGCAAACTGCATACAGAGTTGATTCTTAATCAGCTTTGGCTTATACTACACGGCATTCTTGCCCTCACAGCTTATAGGCCTATCAAAGAGATAGGGGCACACATTTTATTTTGTAAAGAAAACAGTGGCCACGCAAAGAGCATGTTAAGTCTGGCTTAAAGGATCAACCGCAACAGGGTCCAACACAGAGTATGAGCGGGAAACACACACATTCAGGCAAAACTGAAGATCCACACAGTGACACAACAGATGGATTCATGTGATGGAAGTGAAAGTACAGCCCCAATGAACACAAATGACAAGAATCAACAAATAACACTGTGACACTAAAGCTTTGAACTGCCTTCAAACACATCTTGGCCCCTCAGTTTGTGTGAAAGCATCGTGAGAGCACCCTGTAGGCCTATTCTGTGTTTCCATCAGACTAGGAACAATTGTAAACCAATTGATTGGTTCTCTGCATCTGTCTTCAGCACAATTAAGAGGACGAGGATCACTGTAGCAGTAAAGGTAAATCAATGTAAAACGCACCAGCCAGAATAACCTGCAGGCATGATGGACATCATGTTTATGTGCCTCTGGTTTCATTCCTTTTGTTGCATGGCTAAGGAGAACACACACAGCACAGATGCATTCTGTGTCAGGAAAAACACGCGCGTCTTTAGCAGCATTCCCGTGATGAAAGAGCATGAAACATTTAGAGGCTTTTTCTAGGACTTGGTTTGACATTCTCTCACCAAACTGAATCTGTAGAGACAGCAAGACGAGGAAAGAGGAGAGACCGAGCGAAAGACGGAGAGAGATTTTCTTTTGCCGGCTATTGTCTGTCCCTTTTATGTAAGATTTGGATAAAATGGATGAAGGAATGTGAATGTGAAGTGCTGATACCCGCGTCAGTCATTTGCATTTTTATAAAGTATCTGCGAGAAAGAGAGAGAGAAAAGACTACTAGAGAGAGAAAGGGAGATGAAGGGCAGATAAAATCTTACATACTAAGATAGGCAAGAAAAAAAAGTTAGGAACCGAGGCTTGGATTCAATCAGATTCTAAATCAAAAACCTTTTGTATTCCTATTGAGTTGCCAGTGAGTGGTAGATATTAATTTGACACTGCAGTATAAAGAAAAATTAATAATAGTCTCAATACAACATTCATCACTTTGGATGTGATATACTGCGCGCTTCTAAGAAAGAAAAAACAGAGCTTGTGGTTCCGAGTACAAAGTGAGTTTTCTCAGAAATGGGAGGGAGCTCGTGCGCACCACAGACATGGACATACGTCTTTGTCGGGGAAAGATAAAGTATTCCCTAATGAGGATCTGTTTGGCTTCCTCCTTCTACCAGAGACAATTAATGTTCCCTTCACTCCAGAAACGATACATCCAAAATCAGTGAAACACTGCTGTTATGAAACACACTGCAGATAGTACAGAGTAATAATTTAAATTGTCATTTCAAGTGATTTTGACTCTGAAGATTGGCTGTCATGGTTACAGAGACTGCGTGAGTTTGTTATTATTGTCAAATGTTCTTCTGTTTTTTCTTGGTTAAATAATATGAACATTAAGGGCAAAAATGGAAGCAAGTATGCTGAGGATGCATTTGGAGCATTTATCTTTTAAAAAGATGTTTTATGTGAGACTTTCTCATTAAATGTACAAATTTAACTGTGATGAATCAATTCAGTGAACAGAAATAAACCACAGCCAGAGTCTCTGTGGCCTTGCCAGAGGTGCAGCTTGTTCAGAGAAACATTTTTTTATATATATATCTGCTGCCCCCTTGTGGAGAATAAATGAACCACAACCACTTTGGAGAGAAACTACTTTCACTGTTTCCTATCTCTGAAGTTTGTCACTTCTCGGTGTCCTTGAGATACCTCACAGATCTGTTGACTCACAATAGCTAGAACTGGTTGTCATAGCGTAATGTCTGCTAAACGCTCATGCCAGCTCCTCGAGAAGCGCAGAGTAGAAACGTGAGAGAATATGAGACATTCTGTGACTCAAAATGCTCCTTAAAAACTTCTACTACATAAACAACACGAATCAACATGAAAAGGAGATAAAAGCCTGAGCCGTACGGCTGAACACAACAATCAGATTCTAATTTTAATCACATCTAGTGCAGCAAAATGTGAGACAAAGTCTAGATTCCTGCACCTCACTCCGATAAATCGAGTCATGTCTGTATGTGTGATGTGCGTTTGTCCGTGTGTGTGTGTGTGTTCACATTTCTAGTCAAGTCATCATCCAGTTGACTGCAAACATGGTGTGTATATTGCTGGGGAGGAAAGGAAATGCAGCGCTAAGTTTAAGAGGGTTTCCTGTTTCTAAGCTGTTGGTCAGCAGAGCCTGTTGCACATGGGGCTAGGCATTACAGTAAGATGATGGTGTTAAGCTAACACACAGAGTCAGGCAACCACTCACATGTCCAATTTAGAACCTCCAGTTCATCAACAAGCATGTATTTGGACTGTTTAGGAGGCCAGAGAGAATCCACAAAGGCACATGGGCAACCATGCAAAGTCAACACAAAAAAACACAGCAGTGGATTCAAACCTAGAATGTTTTTCATTGAAGCAACGGCGCTAACCACTGCGCTCATGTGCCATCCCTATTATTAATGTATTTTTTTAGTGTTTTTGATTGATTTGCAATTTTGTTGTGGAACACTGTGCCGATGATTAAAATTAATCTTGAATCTTTTATTAAACTTTCCACTGACCGTGACGTCTGCCTTGGAAACTAATACACGAAGGAATCTATGTATGTGTGTGTGTCAGCTCTTTATCCAATCATGTTCTTGTACGTCCTCTATCATTACTGCTGCATTCAGGAGGTCACAATCCTCTGTGACCTTAGCAGTTCAAGTTCAAATTATATATATCTACATCGGCATTTGCTATGAGTGTTAAACCTAATGTTACAAAACATTATATACTGACATTAGAAAAAGTACTTTAACCTAAACCTAAACCTGATGTTATATTCATCAGTTACTGAAAACTGACCAAGTGGCAAATATAAAGTGCTGCTGGGTCTGTTAGCGTTGCTACTATGACACCCACCACACAGTATCCTGTACCTGCCACACATTAACCACAATACCAGGGCTCTAGGTGCTCCTGACATCTGGTGTCCTTATACTGTGCCGTGGAACCCTTACTGATATATTTTACCCACTGCTCCTATTTCAATATATCGGCTGCTGTGACATTATTATGTGACGAAGGAGCTTGCAAAGAAAAGCGTCTGGACTTCTTTAAGTTACTTGAAGACGTTTCACCTCTGGATCCGAAAACTCTGGCTGATTGGGACCCACACCCAGTTCCACACCTTGGCTCAGGCGATTAGAGGATCATCAGGGGGTC